GGTGGCAGGTCAGAGTTTTGGGTAGTGGGTCACACCACCATTCATGACTGAATCAATCATTGTACGATTAACCCATTCCAAGAATGGCACGATCATCATAAAATGTTTGGTCAGACCTCTCGAACGAGAAAAAAAAAAGTAATATATAGAATATTCGTCTTATTATTAATAAATGAATAGGGAAACTTTGTTATAACAAAAATTCATTTATTGAATCTGTCCAGGATAATCCATTGGTGCTACAAGTATAACCTTTTCAAGATAAGCTTTCATTCAACTCTGGAACATTAAATATATTTTTCACAATATTGTTTGTACCTTTCTGCTCTTATCTTTACATTCACTGCTAGAAGGTGTTTGAGATGAGTTTTGTTTGACATCCATTTTTTGTAAGGTGAGTTTGCTTAAATGTAGCTATATATTAAATTATATATTAAATAAGTATGTAAAATTTCTAATTGCAAAAAAAGATTTTTATATATTACTTCACCTTTTACTGAATTACTTTGGCAGTCTATAAAATAGAAGGTGGTGGAGAAATCAGAATATATTGTTGTACAATTGATTTTGGTGGGATACAAATCAGATGACGGGTCAGTTTGTAATTAATACCGATCATTTCTTAAAATTGAATACCCGCCGCTATGTTGATTTGATTTTCGAACACTCAAGTCAGTTAAAACAAAGAAATTTACATGAAGTTTACACTGTCTACAATAAGGGTGCAAACATATTGCCGAGTTGTAACCTATTGTTACGACACCTATATGACGTGAAAAGGTTGTAACCCTTGCAGCTAAATGCCGAATAGCAGTATTGCCGTATTTTGTGCCGTATGCCGTATGTGTCATATGTTTTGCCGTATGAAAACATAACCACCGTATGCCATACGTTATGCCATGTGCCATATGTTGTGCCATATGCAAACGTAAATGCTGCTATGCCATATGCCATACGTTATGCCAATATGCTGTATGAAAATAGTTAATAAATATTAATCACATCATATATAGAAAAATCTTATTAATTATCTGTATTATTATCATCATTTTCTAAAAAAGCATTTATTAATAATTCAGGATCATAGTCCAAATTATAAGAACTATTTATATTAGTATCATTTTCATTTACTTCATTATTATTATTAAAAAAATTAAAATCGATAATGTCTCAAATTGTTAAGGTGTTTATTGTCTGAATTGAATTATCATTTGAATTAACATTATTTAAATAATCATTTTCTGATTCTTAACTCATTAAAGTACCAACTGATGAATCATTTGCTACATTTCTTAATTCATTGCTAGTTGGTGTTTTTATTTGTTTTTCGTTTTTTTATAGGTGAACAAAGAGGTTGGGGAGGAGGACTTTCATAAAAGGTATGTTAATTATTCTCTGCATCAGAAGTTACATTGATAATGGTGGTCAAATTTGTACTTGTTCATTCATTGATAAAATAATGTTCAAATTAATTTATCAATATTAATAGATGATGATGATGATATGATGATGATTCTTTTATTATTGCAAAAGTATATATATAATGAAAAAAACATTGAATGATTAATCATCAAAACAATGTTTTTTATTATCTGAGAAGTTTTGAGTCATATAGACTTGGGATATTTTATTCTTAAAAACCGGTTGATAAATTTTTTTGATGTGACATAAGCTAAGGTTACGGCATTCGACACATGATACAACATTTGGCACATGATACGGCTTATGTAAAGTAACGCATTGCCGTGTTTATGCTGTACTGATGACATAACCCTCAAGTGTTCATATGTTTGCACCCTTAATCTACAACATATGCGGATGTCCACCAGCAAAAAAAATGAATTAAATTGCAAAACAGCATTGGTTACACGTATGTTTTCGATATGTAAATACAATCAACCTTGTTTCAACGAATTTTATATATAAATCGTGTTACAACGACAACGAATTTTTTGGTAGGGATCTTGGAATATAAGCGTTTCAACGAATTCACGTGACAATAGATCAACATGTAAATAAAATCATACGATAAAAAATTATCAAATCATACAAATTATAAAAAATTAAACATGCGGTTTTTAAAAAAACATGTATTCTAATAAATCATGTAATTATTTTAACTTAAAGATGTAATAAAATGTACGTTTACTTTTGTGATTTTATCAAAGATGCATATAGGAACTTATGATTTATTTTTATTTAAGATGTTATAATAAAACTATAAAACTTATGATTAAAAAAAACCATGTACAAATTATAATACTGAAAGGTGTGAATGTTTAATTGAAGAGTTATCAAATCAAGAAAGAATTGTTATTGAAAATTTAATCAATGAATTATCATTTACCTCTCCATTAGAAACAGAAGAATATATTACAATTGATAATGAAGGAATAAGTAATAGTAGTGAATATTGCTTTTTTCAAGCCAATTGAAGAGGAAGTTGCCATTAAAAGTAATACAGCGTCTAATGTTTCAATAAAATATTGCTGTAAATGCCATTGAGACTGTTTACAATTTTCTACAACAAGGTGATATACAACATATTTCAATAAATAATGAATTAATTAATATATATTTTCTAATTATATTTTATTTTATTTGTATAATTTATTAATATTATATTATTATGAAAACTCTTTTCTGACGATTATTACCACTTTTTATTTCAGCGAATTTTTGTAACAACGAATTTAATGACTGGTCCTATGGATTTGTTGGAACGAGGGTAGACTGTATTTCAAGCCTTGTAATCTCATTATTGTATTAGGTAGACAGGATCTAAATCTTCATCAACTATAATCCTTATGATATAAACACACGTTATCCAAAAACTGAAACGTACAAATGCAATGTGGCAGATCTTGATAGACCTGAAAATTCTAAATGGGATAGATATCCCATTACTATTGGTTATTGCTAATGCCGATAGAATAATTTGCATGGTTTTAATTTAATTGGTTTTTTTCGTTTATGAGAGGGAGGAAAAGAGTCCGAGGAAAACACCGACAAATGAATAAAATTAGTAGATATAAATTTAAAGGTGTAATTGGTCCCAGTTTTTTAAAATAAATAAAAAACAAAATTATTGTTTACCATTATGACTTTTAAAAAATTAAATTAAATAGTGACTCCATTGACAAGAATATTTGCAATCTAATAAAGGCCAAAGATATAAGATATCTAGCAAGACTCTCGTCTGTGTCGAGGCAGGAATTATAAGTAGTCACATGATACTGCTACAGAACAAACCTGATAATTCTTCTCATGACATTCAAACTCGTGGAAATTTCTAATGTTTATGAAATCCATGTTTTGCCAAGTAGATTACAAAGAATTGTAAAAATAATAACAATAAGAATAAGAATAAAAATAAGAATAAGAATAAGAATAAGAATAAGAATAAGAATAAGAGATTGTAACCAGTCAAAAAAATTAAACCGGTTAATTACCGGTTAAATATATAAAATATATTTTTTTAATTATTTGATGATTTATCAAATAACAAACAATACTTATATGAATTAACTGTTATATTATCTTTCAATAAACTATAATAATAATAATAGAGTTAATAAACACTAAAGCAAATATAATTATGATGACAATTTACTAAATTACAATTCCTCAAAGGTTTCGATAGGTAATAAATCAATTTAGTTGTACCAATTTTTACTCTCCATTCTCTTGTATTTAGCCGGTGGCTTCATTTCACCCACTGAAACAAAATATTTACAATCACAGTGAGACGTTTTGTCATTTTAAATTTCTATAATTAAAAACCGATTCAGGAATGATATCGATCCTTTCTACAAGTTGCGATTAAATTTTATCAAATAGATCGCAAGAATTGATAGATTTATTGTCTGGTAAATTATAGGATTCGTCGCCGAAATTGGTAATAAAGTTGTAGATGTATGATATACATGAATGAAGGTAAAAATAATAACAATAATAATAAGAACAAATATAATAGGAACGGCTTGTTACACGTTCGGTTTATTTAAAAAAAAATAGGGTTTGTACACTAAAAAAAAAAAATATACATGCGTTATTTTGCATAAAGAAATTTCCAAATTAAATTTACTGTATTTCACTTTATCGTGGATTACATGTTTGTTACACGTAAAGATTCTACATATATTAATATTTATTATTATACTTGACTGGGTTTAAAACGACTATTCCGAAATTATGTAATGAGCAGACCCTGCCTCTCACAAATTACATCAGGTATTTTTAAACTCGAACAGTGTATATATAAAACAGTTACCCCGGATTATGTAAACGCCAAGGCATATGTAGCTAACTAATATATATTATTATTATATATAAATAAAATAGTATGGTGACACAAAATATTTAATTGCTTCTTAAAATTGACAAAAACTGATTTTTTTTCCATGTGTATTTTAAATATTTATCGAAGTAAATATGGCACAAAAATAAATGTATTATTGATATATTTAGTTTAATAACAATAGTTATTGGCTTTTCTTTCTTATATTTCTTTGTTATCATTATTACCGAGACAAAAATAAATAATCCAAATATTTTTCATGGAATCATAATGTAAATAGACATTCAAGGGTCCAAATAGAAAACTCGAATGATAATAACAATAAAATAAACTTTCTTTCTTTTTTCGAAAGTAATGATTCCATGCAAATATTCCACTTTAGAAACCGAAATGATTCATTCATTAAACGCGCGGTCTCGTTAACTCTCAGAGTTTTTACTCGCTAATCATTGATTAATAGTATGTATATTCACATACATACACATATGTACACGCACACGTTTAAAAATTTTATGCAAATGATTTCTGTTTATTTATTTTTAATTTGTTTGTTATTTTAAAAACATTGATTTACTAACTTGGCAAAATGTTTCGGGTTTATTTATTGAAAATTCCTTATAAAACCTTTTTTTTTTCCATGTTTCAGAATTTAAGAAATTTTTTAGTAATTAATATAATAATATTAATTAATATTTATAAAATGGGAAATTGTTGCTGTTCAAATAATTGTAATGATGTTAACATACCATTATCATCCACTACACCTACTACACCTACTAACCAAAATAATCCGATAAATACGGCAAATTCTGATGATCTGATTGAATTTATATTATCTAACAATAATGACGAGTACCCATTGCCTAATGATAAAAAGTTGAATGAGATTGACCCATTGGAATTGCCGCATTATTTAAATCGGCAAATATGGAATGCCAATTTTACATCTCCAATACACATGTCTTTGTCAAATAAAAGATTTCATGTTTTAGATTTTGGGTAAGTTTACTTTTTATTTTATTATTTTTCCGGATTAAAATTTTTCAGGTTCTTTCCAACAATGATTTAATTTTTAATTTTTTTCTCCTCTCTCCTCTCTCCTCTCATCATCATCATCATCATCATCATCATCATCATCATCATCATCATCATCATCATCATCATCATCATCATCATCATCATCATCATCATCATCATCATCATCATCATCATCATCATCATCATCATCATCATCATCATCATCATCATCATCATCATCATCATCATCATCATCATCATCATCATCATCATCATCATCA